CAAGCTAAGAGAAAAAAAACATGGTCCTGCCAACACCTTGATTTCAGCCTTGTGAGACTTCAAGCAGAGGACCCAGCTAAGCTGTGACTGGAAGTCTGACCTAGGGGAACTGTGATAATAAAGGAAGTTTGTTTTAAGCTGCTAATTGTATGGCAATTTGTTACAAAGCAAAAGAAAACTAATACAGTGGTTTTTTGCACATAAGAGAATTTCTGACTCAAACTGGCTTAACAAGCAAGGAAATTTATTTTCTTGTATAACAGGAAGTCCAGAAGTACTTCAGACTTCAAATTGGTTTGTCCAGAGGCTCAATTCTGTCATCAAAGATCCAGACCCTTTGTATCTCGCCAGTCTGCTATCCCAGTGATAACTGATCCTCGAAGTGGTTGCAAGATGGCCCCAGCAGTCAGAAACATTCAGAGGATAAAAAGAGAGTGTTAATTCGTAAAGCACTCTCATGAAGAGTGAGAAAACTTTTCCCAGAAGCTCCTCAAGAGATTTTTCTTCCTGTCTCTTTGTCCAGAGTCACGCATCCATTCCAAATCAGTCACTGATCCTTTTCCAGGAGAAAAGGTTTACCTCCAACGGGTTCTACTAAACCTGGCTGCCCCTAAGGCAAATGGGCATGGAGGCAACTAGATATTAGAACTTAATCAGGATTCCGCTAAGGAGGAAAAGGGAGAAAAAACCAACATGACCACTACAGATCCCAAAGAGTTGCTCTACAAAAAGGTAACAACATATGAAACCTCTGGCCCAAGAGCATTGACAAAATGAATTATACCAGAGCATCTAAACTAGGAAAAGGCAAGTAGGGGCAAAAACAAAGAAACTGTTCCTTGGCAATAAGCAGCTAATAGCAAGCACATTTGCAGAACATTTTAGCAAAAAGTTAATAAAGACATTTAAAATATTAAAAATTGTCACAAAGACAGATTATTCTGCAATCAGCAATAAGAAATCTGAGACAACTAATTAACAACCTAGCAGAGTAGCAAGGAGCAAGAACATTGCAAGAGACGTGGAAGATGAACAAAACAAATGATGGAAGAATAGAAATCCACACATGATACACTGCCTAAGGGTTTTCATCACTTCCATAGAATTAGAAATTAGTATCAAAATTTTCTCTGTATATCATCGATAGTATGTAGTTATCCATAACTTAATTACATAGTAATTTGCATATAATTATTATTACTGTATGGGTTTAATAACTCTTCCTAGTATGGTTTAAGATGATTTCTGTAAAATAGTAAAGGCATAAAAAAACTTGTGTAATTATATATTTAATGAATTGCCTTAACTGAAAAAAAAACTGAAATTATAAAACTATTGAAACTACCTCGGAAAAACCAAGATTCGCAGAAACCTATTCTTCCTCAAATAGATGAAAGATATTCATGTATCTAATCATCATATGATACACCTTAAACTTATATGTCAATAATATCTCAGTAACGCTGGAAATTATTTTTAATTTAAAAATATGTGAAAGAGCTATGGAATCTTCTTTAAGAATCTTCAAGAAATAAAATCTTAACTAGGATATCCTTTATTTTTCTGAGACTGCTGACTGCTCTCTTCTCAAGGATATAGGCAGGAGTGTACGTAGGTGAATTATGGGACAGGGAAGGTCAAAATAAAAGCACAGTCCCTTCTGGCTTTTACCTTGATCCCCCTTCCAGTAAAAGATTAATAGTACCTGATGACTCAGCCGCCCATTGACCTGCCGTTGTCCTCATTACCCTCACGAAATGGTGAGTGACAGGGTTGCAAAAGAGAGCTATAAAACAAGGTATACCGAAGGCAGCTTCTTTCCACAAAAATTGAGTTTCTTATCCCCTTTTTGTCAAGGATATTATCTTTCTTATTGTGTTACTGGCTGTGGGGATCAAAGTCCACTCAATTCTCTGACCTCATTATCACCTGATACAAAAAGGGCTGGCCAGTTTATGAGTTTTCCAGGATAGTCTGGAGTTTGGGGGTGAAGGATTATGTCCTCACTCATAGTGGGACACACACAGGAATAGAAAAGAGACACTATAAGGAAAAAGAGGGCTGCCTCTGGGGTCATCCCAGCTTTCCCATTTCCCACTGCCCCTCCCCAACCCTGCTTTCCGAACTCATGGGAAGCTTGTACAGCAAAGTCTTGTGGGTTGCCGGCTCCTCGCGGATTGAGTCCTCACACGGGAACAGGCGGCTCTGCCTAGAGCCAGCAGAACGCGGATGCCGAGGTGCAAGGCACACCGCGGCCGCCAGAAGGCGCGAGCGCCTCAGGTCCTCGCGCGATGGCCTCGCCGGGACCAGGAAAGATAGGTGGTCGGCCTGCGAGGAGGGGTGGCAGGTGGACCCCGCCTCGCCTCGGAACTGCCAGCCTCCGCGCTTGGCCCACCCGCCCTTCCATTCCCATTCGCCCGAGGGCCCCACCCGGATCTGCGTTTGCATGGTGACCTTCACGCGTGAGCCCTGTCGGAGGGCGCTCTCGGCTCCGCGCCCACCTCGCGGCCGCAAACCGGCTCTTAGCCGGAGGCCTGCGGGGAGGCGGCGGCCGGATCTTCAGAGAGGAATGCCCGGAGGGCCAGGCCCGAGAGCATCCCAAAGCGGGCGCCGCGCCCTAGCATCCGGCCGCCGCGGAACAATGACCGGAGGGGCTGTGAACGCTGCGGCTAGCACGGAGGAGCAGGGGCGCCCGGGTGCTGAAAGCCCCGCCCCTCGGCCGGCTCCCTGACAACGCGGGCCGGGCCACACCGCCTGCTCCCCGCCCCTCGG